CAGAATTGTCCCTTTGTGTCACCAAAGCCTGACAGGTTCAGCTGCAATAACCTCTGGGAATTTGATGGGCTCTATGCAAATGTGAGGAGGATCTCTTAATCAGCAGTTTGGAGAGACAGAGGCATCACTCAGACAAGAAAAACCAATTTAATTTATGTCATTACTTTGCATTTCAAGTAGGAAGGCGATGAACACATCATCCCCTCCCAGTGCAGCTCCTGGAGCCATCCTGGGCTTTTTCCTGACCCATGGACTCTCCACCTGAATCCCTGTGGGAAAACAGCTTTGGGAGAACATCCTTCAAACAGGAGCTTCTTCTCTGTGTAGTCAGCAAAAGTTATTTTACAGTAAAAGTTTTTTTGATGGAGCAGGAAAACCCATTTTAAGAAGCAGAGACAATTTTAAGGGTTATGAACCTTACAAGTTCAATTGAGGACTCAGAATCCCTTTGACCTGCATGGCTGCATATTGATAATCTCTCCCAACAATTGTTGTGACTATATTTATTATCAGAGAAACCTCAGTGTTGTTTTCATTTGTGAAGCAAAGGACAACCAACAAATGGAATTGTAAACCTAAAAATCCAATATAAATTTGTAACGCTCATCCCCACCTGATGAGACCAAATAAGAGTTTGACATATTTTTTTTGGCACTTTTTTTAGTTAGAATAAATCACGTGAACTCTCTATTCTGACAGCATTTTGCTTGGAATGGAAAACCCTCAGTCCCTGGGAGAGCTGTGCTGGGGATTAGGCTGCTGGAGCTTTTCCTTCAGGAGACAGATGACACTTGCAGAATGATTTTGGCTGACTCACTAAACAGTGTTTAAATGCACAGGAAATGCTTCTGCACATGGGATTTATAGTTCAGCTCCAGAAAACTCTGTCTGCTCCTTTGAGCTCCCATAATCAATCCAGAGCTGAAATTGGTGAGCAGGAGGAAGGCCAGGGGTGCTGGGCTGGGCTGTGGCTGGGGGGTGATGCTGATCCAGGTGGTGAAAATTCAGAGTTCACAGACCCTGGCTTTGTTGGGAGAAGCAGCAGAGGCAGGATTAGGGCAGAGCTGGATTGGCATGGATTTCATCCAGGGAATATCCTCTTGGAGGAGGAATAGGAGTGGGAACAGAGCAGATTTCCTCCTGAGGGCTGCTGGAAATGAAGATGAGCAAGAGCAGCTTCAGGTGTACTTGATTATTTAGTAGCATTTATTAATGAGCCCATAGTCCACAGATTTGTGGTTCTCGTGCTCCTTTAGCCTAACTGAGGAATATTGTGTGGAAGGTTTGGAAGTTCATGTTCAAAAACAGGAGCAGGAAAAAGTCTTTTCATTGTACAGGGGGGTTGAGATAAAGACAAATGTGAAGTCTGAGGGCTCCTGGAGCATCTAGTTGGAGACTGGAGTGAAGCACAGATGCAAAATCTCATAGTTTTATTTAATCTCGGTTAAAAACAGAATTTGGAAGATGGGACAAGTCTATGGTTTGGCAGGTGATGCAAAACAGTGCCAAAGGAGGCTGATTCCATAAACCTAAACCCACAACAGTGCCAGGGACAGGAAAAAGATTTAAAAAATCAGCAAATGAGTTACTGTGTGCTTGCAGTGACCAAGGGAGAATTTTGGGGTGAGGAATCCCAGCCTGGTGCTCAGCAATGTCCCTGTCCTGGGCCAGGTTTGATTTCCTGCCCCAGGGAAACACCATCACCCCTTCCCTGCAGCCTGGTCTCCAAATGCTCTGAGGAAAGATGTATTAGGAATGGCAGGATCTGCAAATTATGCTACAAAACTTCCAGGTGGGAAATGCCCCTCAGGTTTCCCTGGGAGTGCTGCTTTCAGCCCTGTCTGCATCAGTTTGTGTCAATATAAACTCAGGGAAATGTATGGATTTCTGCTGGCAGCAGATGAGATCAGCACTTCTCCAGGCTCTCATCAGTGCTCCCTCTTGCCAGCTCCCAGAGAACTGCCTCCACAAAAAAAAGTGGATTTTTTCTGTGCAAATACACAGTATTACTGTGAAATGAATCCTCTCTATTTTTATTTTCTCTCCTTAAGTCGTTTTTTTTTCCCTCTTGAAGGATGTGCTGTTCCTTTACATGAAATGAGGCTTGCAAAAAACTGAGTTTCTTCTTAGGTTTTTTTGGAAGCTACAGCTTCAAGAACGACTGCAGTGGTGACTGGGGAGCTGCACTAAAAGAGTTTGTTGCCTTTTCCTTTGGAGACAACTTCCTTTCCGTGTTCTGAAGTTTTTTTTTTCAAAGCCTTCTGTTGACAAGGGATGCAGAAAATACTGAACCTGCTAAATTCAGATTTTGGTGTGCTGTCTTCAGTGTCACCTGAGGGAGGGAACACAGTCTGTGCCCCTCAGTTCCTGCTCCAAGTTGTTTTTCACCTGGGATGAAGGTGTGGGTTTGAATTCCTGGCCAAACCCTCCAGGCTAGGGGAGATTTCTTTATTATTTATCAAAATTGCTTGGGCACTACTGATGTTTGGGAGGAATAGAATTGAAAATATTTAGGTTTTCCAGCCTGGAAGTTCAGGTTCGGTGCAGCTGGTGAGGATAATGTACAATTAATTTAATCACCATCTCCATTTAAAGGTGTGAAAAGCCCTCTGAGAGGAGTCCAAACATTAACCCAGCACTGCCATGTCACCACCTGAGCACCAAATCTGCAGGTTTTATCAGGAGTATCTTGCAATTCCTGTGGGATTAAATCGTGTGCTGAAAACAGAATATTCTGAACGTGCCTCCTCCCTGGTTTGAATCAACATCTCTCTGCCAGGGCAGAGTTTTTAAGAAATTGCCCATGGAAGTGTTCCTGTTGTTGGAATCTGCAATTTCTGAAGGGTTTGAGTGGATGAATGCTGCTGGTACGAGCTGCTCAGCAGACAGAATCAAAATGCAGAGGTTTTTCAACCAGTCACCTGTTCCTTCTAGCCCAAAATGAAATATCCCAAGTGCTGGATGGGCATATGGGAGGTGAGGTTTGTGCCCCAGTGAGTTCCCACCCAACGTGAGCAGCTCCAGCAGGAGAAAGCAGTGATGAGCTTTGTAGTAACTGCATTTACTGGGGGTGTGGGGGAAGAGAAAAAAATGAAGATTTCATCCAGAGTCTCCCACGTAAGCTCCAAAAAAAGCCACCCGCGCTTGGTGCTGCGCTCAGGCGTGACGGGGATGGAGAAACAAAAGCCCAAAGCGTGGTGAGGTGCAGCTCTGGAGGTTGGCGTGGCAGGTGTTCTGTGAGACACCTCTTGTGCCTTGGCTCCAAGCCCTGCGTGCCCACGGGGTTCAGGGGTGTCTGGGAACCTGGTGGGAGCTCCAAATCTCGCTGTACTAAGCCAAAACTGCAGGTTTTTTGGGTTTTTTTTGCTTTGTTTTCAGCAGCCACGACTTTGTAGCGTCTAAAAATACGCAGCAACGTTGGTGGTGGAGCGTTGCTTAACTTGTGCAAGTTGTTCTCCCAAACTTTGCCTGAGTGAAGTGATAAGTTGAACAGTTACAGTAAATAGAGTAATATTTTGATTGGTACGGAAACTTTTGTTTCTTCTCTGTGTCTAATTAGCGTAGCTCTGAATGTCAAATATTTACCCGCTCTCCCCAGCGCTGTGCTCACTTCGGTGGGCTCCATCTGGCTCTGCCTGCCTCGAGCCTGCTCCTCATGGAAAAGCTTTCCCAGACCCAGGGCTGGTGCTGGATCCCACCTGTTCCCCTCCAGGTCTCCTGGACTGGGAGGGAGCTCTTCCCTCCAGCAAATTCAGGTGGATTTGCTCTATTTCAGGAAAACAGAGCTGTGGAAGCTGCTGGTCTGTGATGGGAGATGTCAGGCCACGTCCTTGCTAAAAGCTGCTGAGGGGTGGGAGTGGTACATCCATGGTACATGAAGGCAAAATATTCCTTTAGGCTACCAGGGATGCAATTCCCCAGTGCAGAATGGGGTGTAGCAGCTTTTTATATCCATAGAGTCCCAGAAAGGTTTGGATTGGAAGGGATTTTAAAGCCCATCCAGTGCCACCCCTGCCATGGGCAGGGACACCATGGGCTCCAAGCCCCAGTGTCCAGCCTGGCCTTGGACACTTCCAGGGATCCAGGGGCAGCCACAGCTGCTCTGGGAATTCCATCCCAGCCCCTCCCCACCTTCACAAGGAGGAATTTCTTCTCAATATCTAATTTTCAGGGACTCTCAGGGGCTTCAGTAGCAATCCCATTACAGGAGCAGGGCTGTCCTCTGGCTCTGACTTCTCATATCGAATTGGAATTGGAGCTACAGCCCAGGAAATGGGTGCTTATCTTCAGGCAAAATGTCAGGCTTCTTTTTCTGCCTCTCCTATCTGGGATGTGTTGATAGTGCAAAAAAAAAAAAAAAAAAAGCTTATATTTCCTTATATTATACAATTTTTGCTGCATTTCTGGTGCCCACTGAATTCTAGTTTCATAAACATCATCTCCATTTGCCATATGTTCTCTGTGTGACCCGTACCTTGCTACCAAACATGTGAAGCTTTAGGTTTAAACCATGTGCTGAACAAATTTCCTGATGGTTTTTTTTTTATTTTTTTATTTTTTCAGATTTTATTAGCATGTGGTTTGGATGATCTAATGGGGAATGGCTCTGCTTCAGCCTCTTTCTGTGGGATTTAGGTTGGTTTCTTGTCAGCTGAGAGCTGCACTGAGTTATCAGTGGAAGTGTTTCAGCCTTTAGTGAAATCAGAGGTGGAAAAATGAAGGTTGAAAGGTGGAAAGGTTGAACCCCAGGACAGTGTTTAGGGTTTGGGGGTTTTGGAGGAGAGACCTCATGGACTGGGGGAAGCTGAATCGAGCACTGGAAAAGGACTGAGCAGGTTACTGCTGTTGTCTCGTGGCACTTTGAAAATAGCAAAAAAAAAAAAAAAAAAATCATCCAAGACAGCCTCTCTCTCTGCAAAACAAATTGACAATAACAAGAATTAATTTAGAGTCTTAAAATATCAGCATAACCAACATTCCATTTGAATTTCTTCTTTCAGATATTGGAAATTTGACTGAAGGCTACATATCATGCACTGGAGAAGGTAACAGTTCTTTAATTCTAATTCTGATGTGTTGGTGTTAATTTCTCTTTATTCTTAACATCATTGCATTGAATGTCAAAATCTTCTTTGTGTTGTTTGTGCTTTAAAGAATTTGCCCTGGAGTTTCTCTGTGCCCTGACAGGGGGTTTTGATTTCCCTTTTAAAAAGAATATATAAATCTGCGTTCAAGTTCTTAGGTGTGTATATGTTGCATTTTTGCAATTCTACATTGGAAGGTTTACAGGAAACGTGGAACAGTTTGCCTTCAGCTATTATTGCAAATGGAAAATTGTAAATGATGTATATTTACCAGGATGTATGGAAGTTATAGAATGAGTCTTTTTCAAAAGGGTATTGATATTTTGCTATCGATAATGTTTCAGATTTTTTTTTCCTCTGGTTAAGCTCTTATTGTTCTTGTCAAGAGATTTTCAAAATTGGTGTTTAATTAATCATTGAATGATTGACTCTGCAATTGAATTAGTCAAAAAAACCTGTGGTGTTTCTGAAACTCAAATTTTCTTAATGGCCTCTCAGTTTGAATGTCAAAGGGAATCAATCTTGTTAGTGGAGAGGTGGGTTTTGTTCTACAGACCCTGAAATTATCTTGAGGGGGTTTTTTCCAACATGCTTTTAAGTCTGATTTATGTTGTTTCCAAAGGAGAACAAGATGTTTTCAGAGCTTAAAATTAGTTGGAAAATGAATGTTGTCTTAGTTTTAGATGTTATTACTGTATCTGTTCAGAGAGACTACAGATGGTTTCTGACAAAAATATTTAATTTCTTAATTCTTGGGAGTTTCTCCTTAGTCCTGGGTGGTGTTCACAATGGAAACTGGAGATGGAGATCAAGCAAATCTTCTCATTCAGCCTGGCTCTTTTGGAATGTGCTGTCTTGGTGTGAGGTTTTCAAAGCCAGCGTGATAAATCCTGTGATAGATCACTTTCTAGTCTTTCTAGTGCTCTGAAAGGAAAAGCTTATTTCTTAATATGAAAGATAACTTTGAATAATGGACTCCTCATCCCTTTGGACAGTACTCCTAAATTAGCCTCAGAGCTCCTTCTCAGGTGAAATCTCATTTCCAGGTTCCCCACAGTAAAAAGGAGATGCTGATCCCCATTTCATGTGGGAAGTGTTTTCAATCTGCTGATGAAAAGTACTTCTGAAGAGTTAGGCAACCTTGATTAATTGAGCCTGAATAAGAAGTGCAGGATCAAATCTCAGGATATTATTTTTAGGCTGCAGCCTTGTGTTCTGCATTCCAAATCCTTAAATGCCAGTTTGATAGGAAGTGTGGAGGACTGGAGCAGACAGTTCTGGGCAGGCTGGTAATGGTTTGCAAATGCTGACACCACCCCAGCCAGGAGGATGGAAATTGCTTTGTGTTTACAGAGCCTTTAACTCTTGGGTAAACACTCCTCATCAGTGAGGATGTGACTGGAATTTGGGTTAAAGGCCTCCATTCTGGTGATGCCTCAGGATTTTATCTTTGATATTTTCCATCTGTTTGTAACCCTGCAGATCTTTAGGGTGTAACTCCAAACTCCACACACAGTGTGAGCTGCTGCTTCCCCATTTGGGGCAGACACAACAATTCCTCTCCAGGCCTGGCAATCAAGGACACCTCAGTGCCTCAGGCCAGAGAGATGGGAACAAAAGTGAGTTGGGGGAGCAAACTTGGGGTCAGTGACTTCATTACCTGCAGCTGGAATTGGCAGATTCACCCCCAATATGCAAATGGACCAAAATTGTCAAAATGTGCAAATCTGTGACCCATCATCCACTTTTGGGTGTAGCCCCTGGGGGGTTTCATCTGCCTTAAATGTACATTAAAGCCCTTCAATAAATAGAACAGCTTTTTATTCCCTTAATTATGTCTGGCCTCTTTTTTTAGATAGCCCAAAAGACATCAGTGGCATTGAGAGTGAAGGGGTATTTGAAATAAAAGCTGTTGTGGGGAAGCACTTGGTGGATTTGAGCCATTAGAAAGTCAGCAGTGCCCTGTGGGGTGTTTAGGTCTGGGAATGGCCCCACAAGGCAGAATTGGGTTTTTGGGAGTGGGAACAGCAATGTCACCCAAGCTGCTGAGACATCTTAAAAAGTGAATTTTGTGTGCCTAAAGTCTGCCCCTACCCCAGTGGCAGCAAGCCTTGGGATGCAGGGCCGTGCTCCCCAGGAGCAAGCACAGCGTGGTTTTTAGGGAAAAGTGGTCACACACTCTGCTGTACTCAACAAAATGACACATTTGGGGACTGCAGATTCAGCTTTTATACATATTTCATCTCTGGGGGAGGGCAGGAGTTTCTATCCCACGCTCCTCAGCAGCACATGAGCCCTGCTGAGTCAAAGCCAGGCCCTGAGTGAGCCAAGTTGGGGCTTTTGCTTCTGGTCTTGTGGCTCAAAACTGGCTGTGCTTGACCAAAGTGACTCCAGAAGTAGGGATTTGAAAGGAAACATTTGTGCTCTGTAGTGGTATAATTACAAAATTCTACTTGATTACCTGTCAAGCTAATTAAAACAGTGACAGGCCAGCAGTCCTCTTTAGAGTTTGTAGCATCTGTGCTTTGTATCCCACAACCAGGCTTAGAGTGTAAATTTAATTAGGATTATTACCAGCAGACAATGCAGAGTTTTGCTGGAGAAATGTCCTAAAACTGAATGCTCTGGAAAAGGAGGTTCTGGTGAGCAGGGTCTGAAGAGCAGCTGGTTTTAGGGCATGGTTTGACAAGATTGGGACTGGTTTTGTCCACTGGCAGCTTCCCCTTTGCCCGGTGTGTCACTGTTTGTGTCTGGCAGCTCTGGGCTCAGCTGGAAGTGCTGGGGGTCAGGGTGTAAGAGGATTACTTGATGGACACTGAACTGCCTCCAACAGGCAATTTTTAGATCCCTCCTTCAAAGAAAAGGGTTGTTTGTGATCTCCAGGCATCCTTCTGCTTCCCAGGATCCCTAACTCTCCTCCTTCCCTGGCTCCTCATTGTCAGATGTGTTTGCCACCGTGTCCTCCTACTCTCCTCCTTATTCTCTGAAAATCTGCTGTGTCCTTTCTTTTCCTCTTTATTATCTCCTGCATCCAGCCTGATTCCCTTCTCCTGCTTTTCACCTTCTGTGCCTCTCTGTCGTCCCTTTCCTTGGCTGCTTCCTTCTCCCCTTATCACTTGGGTTCCTCATGCCACACAAAAACCCCCAAAAATTGAAACAGAGTCAGTTGTTCTAAAGTAATTTGATTAAACCGAATCGCCAAAACTGCCCCTTTATGGTGCATTATTGTGATTTTTAGAGGATGAGCTGGGAGGGAACACCCTGACTTTGCAGCAGAGTGAAATGGCAGCTTTTTGATACAACCCTGCTTGTAATTAGTTATTGCAGAGTCTGCATTTTCCTTAAGATTTGGAGTACTTTTGGTTTTTTTTTAACTTGAGCAATATTTAGGATAGAGTCCTCATGACTTGACTTTTCACCCTCAAATAATGATAAATACTTGAACAGAACTTAGGATGAAGTTGTGCTCAGCCACAGGTGCCTGGCCAGATCTTTTTTTCGCAAAGAGATTTTGGAAGAACAGGTGATGCTCAAGGGATGTGCCTCATTCCAGCATTTCAGAGTATTTTCTTTCAGAATATGTGTGAGATGTGTTGTCTGTGTTCCCTGAGTGGGAATATGGGGCTGAAATGACACCAAGGAACGTCTGGGAAGGCGACAAGGCTGTTAAATCCAAAATCTGACGCAAGGCATGCTCTGGCACAAAGCAAGTCTGCCCTTCTGCACCTTTTTGATATTATAAAAGAGATTATTGTGGCCTTACAAGAAGGTTAAGATGTCATGAAGTTTAATCTACTCTGGAAATAGTCCTGCTAAAGCCACTGCTGCTCGTGATTGATGAGGCAGGTTATGATGGGAGCTCTCAATCTCGTGTTTGTGTGTGCAAATTGCCATTTCCCAGCCTTTTCAAGGTTGCTAACTTTATCTTGTGGTGCAGCCCATATTTAAGGATTTCATGTTGAATTAGCCTTTGATTAAGGGCAAAGGAGCTTTGATGATAAAATGCCACTACCAGTGGTTCTGCGGACTGGCTTGGAATAACTTATCTATCACTCCATGACTGAGAACACGGTGTGGACATGAGGGTCACCCTTTGAGGATTAATTTTTCTGAGATAAACAGCTCATGGCTGTTGGATGATTATGGTCAGAAGCAATTATGGTGGCTTTAAACTGCTCATTACTACAATAAAGAGTTACTAGAGTGAGTTTTGAGCTTCTGCCTAAATAGCTGGGTCAAGATGTGTCAGCCTGGATTCCAAGGTGTTATTGAATGATAGGAGCTGCTGGGAATTCTGGCACTGGTGGGTCCTGGCAGTTTGTTTTCCCTATTTTTTTTTCCCTATTAACTGAATTTCTGCACTTTTTAGGTGAGTAACTGAAACAGGCAGCTGGCAGTTCTGTGGAGTCCCCTGTAAATAGCAAACATGTCTTTTCCAGGTATTCTGAAGAGTGTTTCACAGCTGGTTTAGGTTCCAGGTGTCACTGCCTGTTTCTGATCCTCTGAGCTCCAGATTTCCATGTTTCTGTTTCATTTTTGAATTCCTGCAATGCTGTCATCAGCTCAGCTGAGAGACTGGATGAGTGCAGTGTGAGAAGCAGCAGGACATGATGCTTCTCATGGCTGGAAAAGTGGTGGAGCCTGAAAGCCAAAGCATGTCTGAGATAAATTCCTATTTAATAAAAAAAAAAAGAGAGCCCCAAACACCAGCGATATGGGAAGCTGCTGTCATGAGCACGGCTTGAAAGGGATGAGAAACTGTCTTATGGAGGGATTAGTGTAGTGAGGAATAAACTGCTGAATCACTGGGAGCAAGGAGGAAATAGAGAGTGGAGAGGCTGTGGAAAAAAAAATAAAATGGCTGCTGGAATTCAATTAAAATCACAGTAGGATTTGCTGCTGGAGATGGAACATCCGTCAGCCCGGACCTGGTGGTGGCTGCTGCCTCGAGGGGTGCTTAA